GATTTTCACTTCGAAAATGTTGTTTCGAGTATCTATTTTAGCGGTATAATGGTTGTATATGTTGTAAATAAACAAAGTTTCAACTGGTAAGAGCATAGTCAAAACACTGTTATTGTAAGCAAAAGTTCTAACTCGCATGAGCGTAATTAGAACACAATGTAATGACATAGTATATGACTAAAACGACCACATGAAACCAAAATAAAATAAAAAGGAGTAGAAAAAGAAATTCAAGGTGAGCATAACTCTTTCCTTAAGACAAATTGACTTGTTACGATACTCACGATTGAATGGAAAATGTCTCTCAAGATACAATGGATACACACTTGTGGTAGCAGCATTTAAAACCACAAGAACGACGGAATTTTTCCTTTACAAAGGAATGTTATAAGAAGGAGAGAAAGATAAATTGCAAAAGAAGAATGGATGCTCAATGCAATTATGTACTCAAAATCACGTCCATAGAGTCCTATTTATAGATGTAGAAAGGGTGCAAATGAAGTAGTGTGGAAAAAAACCTGCATCCTTTCGAAAAGTTGCAATATTTCATTTCTTCCAATTTTGGACCGCAATTTCTCATTCATTCGGAATTGGTTTCGAAATTCCAAATATACCACTACAATCTACTCGACGAATAGAATAAGTTGATCTATTTACTTTTGTAATTTGACTATCCGATCAAATCCGAATATTTGACCGAAATTGACACGAAATAACACAATTTTATTTTTTCAGTTTTACACTTAACCAATTTTCGGTTAATTTCAATTATTATTGAGCCAATTCCAACATAAAATACACTTCGGCAACCTGTGATGCCTTTCCTTGGACATGGCACTTCGGATAAGGTGAAGTCACTTCAGATGAGACACGTAAACCACCTCGCCTTCTGCTCAACTACTTTGACCTAAGCTTAGGAAGGTTAGATAACATGGAGTGTAGGTCTTGCATAGTGATGAGGACATCATCTATTTTATTTATTTCTAATTGGACTTTATTTATATTTTAGATTCTATTTATGTAATTGGGCTTGTATTGGCCCAAGCTCGTTTTAGGTAGATTTTGTTTTGACTATTTAAACATAATTTGCCATGTAATTTCATTAGTTCGATGATTAAGATGAATTGAGATTGGTTGTGGCATCTCATTCCTTTCCCTTCCCCTCTCCCTCCTTGAATTTCTACTTCTCCGATTTCTCCTCCCATTCTCTCCAGTTCTCCCCTTTTTCTTACTATTTTCTTATTTATCCTGTATCAAATTTGGTATCAAAGCTGAACCTTCGATAATTTCTTTCTTATAATCCAAAATTTCTTCTTATTTTCTTCCCAAAATTTGTCGAAACAACACAAGTGAGAAGAATTTTGTGTAAAAGCAACAAATCTCATTTTTTTAGTTTCTTTCTTTGTTTAAAAAAAATTACTGTTTACGGGTACTATCCACACCTGAAATTTCATTTTAGAATTTTTTGCAATTTAAGAAAAAAACGAAACAAAAGGAGAGGAATTTCGATCGTTGTTGCTACTGCTAGGGTGCTGTTCCACAAAGTCTCACCCTAATACTCAACCCGCACAGCCCAATTCCTTGCAACCCAATTATTTTACTTACTTCGTGTTTTATTTATTAATGTCTTTTTATTTCATTGGGCTTGTCTAGTGGATTTGGCCCAAGTCCTTATCTTTAGGTTTTTTGTTTTACTATTTAAATCTAGTTGTTCTTGTAATTGAAACAGTTTGATGAATTGAAGAATATTTTAGTGGTTTGTTACCTATGTCTACTTCCTCCTCCCCTTTTTCCTGATTTCTCCCTCTTCTCCGGTTTCTCTCCCATTCTTTTTGGTTTCTCCCTCCCTTCTTGCTTCTTCTTTCTATTCTTTAATTCGTCCTGCATCACATAGCTTCTCACTTTTTCCTAGTTAGCTGCCACGTGATCTACCTCATTGGGTGAGCCATAACAATGTTTATGATAAAAGGACACAAAATAAAAATGAAAATATAGCATATAAAATAAAATAAATAAAGTCAAAATTCTTAAAATGCGATAAGATGGATTTTTTACTGAAGGACTAGAAATGATGTTGGACTATTTGATGTAGATTTTTTTTTTTTTTTTTTTTTTAGAACGGGTTTTGAGAAAAGTGATATTTTTGGAGAATGTGTGATTGGAAAATATGAAAAATTATGAATTTACATAAAAAAAATTATTTATTTTTTTTGGAAGAATGTGTTGGTAAAAAGACATTTGAAAAAAAAATAATAAAGAATCTATACATAAGGACGAATTTATTGATTTGGGATTTGGCAGGTCTTAAAGAGTAGTGATGTCAAGTCTAGCAACTTTGTAATTTTATTTCCTAAAAATTTATCAATAATATATATATAAAACTTCAAATATTATTGACATTGAGGGTAAGTTATTGCATATTAAGCTGACGTTTTGTAGAAAATGCTCGTGTATCTAATTTATATGTCACACTATCAACTCAATGTACACTTCAAAATGATATTGCGTCAGTTTTTATATATTTCTACACAGTCCTTTCAACTCAATGCAGTTGAAAAACGAGTCATGCCAAATTAGAAAATAGTTGAATATGCATAATTTACACGTCTTATCATGATCTTGGTAGATAGATTAATCGCTACAAGTTCTAAAACACTCAAATATTGGTCATGCAATTGAGCTTTATATGCTATTTCTTTCCCATCAAAATCATTCTTCAATACTAACTCCAATAAAACTAAAAAATTCTAACAAACACATAATTACATTTTTCCAGTCAATCATATTGGGAAAACTATATAAACTTTACACTTTCTTTATTTTCATTTTCCCCTTGTAAGGAAGTGACTTCAGTTGATATAGGTTAGATTTATATTTTATGAAAGTTGATGGATTTGACAAAACCTAAGGTCACTATTTATCAAATAATAATTCATGGAGAAGTGCTTTCGCAACAAGAGTAGTCACTAAGTCTCTATAGTACATCATGATCCCAATCTAATAAATATTGGCACATGGGACAAATAATTGGATAACTATTTAATAATAATAATAATAATAATAATAATAATAATAATAATAATAATAATAATAATAATAATAATTAAAGATTGAGTTTATTCTTGTGTGTGTTAGAAAACGCACAAGTCTTCTAGGATTAATTATTTATGTTTAGATTATAAAATCTACATGAAACATATATATTGTACAAGTGGGTACGTGTGCATAGGTGAATGGATGTGTGCTAGATGAGCGTCACGAATAGCTTAATACAGCATGTTGATAGTTATGATATTTGATAGTGATGAGGGAAATGTTAGAAATAATGTTATCTAGCATATTTAATTCACTCTATCCGTTAACGAGATAATAATTATGTAATCCAAAATTTATACGAAACACTTTGAAACAAGAAGAGCACAGAAGTGCCCAAATGTATAGTAATGATCATAAATGCCAAATACTATACGAAAAATATATAATAAAGTAAAGGGAGAAGAATTATCCCACGAAAAGGCAATGCTTGGTAGTTGCTCAAATCTGCACAAAACTATTTCATTGAGATCTTTGTAACTATATTTAAAACATTAATCTCACCCCCAATCTAGTTTAAAAGGCTAGTGAGAGTGATGCCAATGCAGATCTGTTTGGCTAACTTATAAGTAATTTATAAATTAAATATAAATGGTCAAAGTTTTGGCTCACTTATAAATAATTTATAAATCAGATATAAGTACTATCCATTTATTATCATTCATTTAAATTTATATAAAAATTAGATTGTTTATAAATTCTTCCCAAATGAAGGTCAAGTATCATGGTTTAGTGGAAATGAAATATAGATACTTGTCTCTACTAATTTAGGACCACAATAATAACAAGATTATTCAATAGAGTAATACTATTTAGTATCAATGGAGTTACAATATCAATTTAGGTGGTACTAAATATCATTAAATAAAAGATTTCTCCTTTAAATAAATATATCACTTAGTAGTCACATAGACTGGTGTTCAATACCACTTCGATTCCAAGAAATGAGCGAATCTAGGAAGTGATTCCCCCTAAAGGCTCTCTAGATGAGGATTAGGATTGAGAGTAGCCTCTCAAGGTCAAGCGCACATAGCTAGTTGCCAATGAGGCTGTTGAACTTCTAGTGTGGCCTTCCATTCTTTTAAGTTTGCTGGAGATCGAGCAATATCAATAATTCTAGCGGTCACAAGTACCCTTAGCTATCACTGGGGCTGCTTGAAATTGAAAAACCACTATAATTCTAAGGCCACTAGAAGTCCAACGAAACCGCTTTTCATTCATCCCGTAGCTAGTTGCCAATGAGGCTGTTGAACTTCTAGTGTGGCCTTCCATTCTTTTAAGTTTGCTGGAGATCGAGCAATATCAATAATTCTAGCGGTCACAAGTACCCTTAGCTATCACTGGGGCTGCTTGAAATTGAAAAACCACTATAATTCTAAGGCCACTAGAAGTCCAACGAAACCGCTTTTCATTCATCCCGTCCTGCATAATCTTAAACCTTCATTCGACGCGAACAACTAGTATCATAGAAAAATATGGTTATATCTAATTAATTAAACATTTAAGAATTCAAACCAATTGACACCATATATTGTAACCTGGCTATATTGAAAAAACAGAAAGCGGAGGAACCGAAGGCTTAAGTATCATCTCCTCTAAATTCAATACATATACATAATGACTCAATTGATAATAAATGTCATAAATTTCCTCAATTTCAATAGATTTTGCCTCTTTTAATTAAGGTATGTACCCATGATTGAATAATTTTCCCCACTCTTTAAATTGTCCCATCCAATATCAATCCCTTCATTGAGTTTTCCTGTCATATCTGACAAATACACTTTTTATAACTGTGAAACCTTCTGTTCCTCAGCTTTCTGTCCCATCTAATAATATTCCGAGAGAAATGGACTCACTGGCTTCTGCTCCAAATTTACCAGCAGTAATTTAACTACACAAAAAGGTAAAAATCATAGAAAATTTAACTAGTTGATCACATGTATCAGATGATTGTGTTGTGTTCGTTTATGGATGGCCTCACTCAACTGAATGAAATTGCATCAAACGAAACTGTTAAATCTGTATATACGATCATATGTCTGCTGTTTTAGGATCTTGTTAACTATGAATCCTTAGTTTCTCCAAATGAGATGATGTTAAGGTTGTTACTATTTCCTGCAGCACTCTAATTAAAGAAACTGAATGGATTTGAGGTCTTGTCTTCTTCGGCTTCTTCTCCAGAAAGTCCTTGAGTGAACAAGAGATCTAAAGGTTCGGCTTCGATGTCACCCAATTCTGAGAAGAAGTCTTCGGCTTGGTTGCTGTCATCGGCCGAAAATGCCGGCTCATAAATCTGTCGAAACCCTTCACTCAATTCGATATCAATAGTCGTTTCCAACTTCTTGTTGCAATCTTGATCCGTTCTCTCTTTCACAGATGGTGAGGATACATTTTCTGTATTGATTTCTTTTGGGTTTGTAGACTTTTGGCCCTGATGATCAGAACTTGATGAATTCTTGGGAGCTGAACTATTGTTCTTTGATGGCTGAGATCTTGTGGATCCTGCCAGAGCATTTCTTTGAGTTGGCCATGGATGATTGTGCTCAGAAGTGTAGGTGATGACTAACATGTTCGGGTCGGTTCGGCTACGCTCGACTTGTTTCCTTGCAGAACAACCCTTTGAACTGCTACATCTATAGTAGCCCCTAAATTGATCAAAACCACAAGAATTAAACAAGAGTTAAGAAAATTCTCAAATCTTGACTCGTCCCCTATGTTCCAACCCAACACCGGTGCTGACCTAGTTGGGACGTCTAGGTGCACTTGAACAAACTTACTAAGAACGAAAAGGTAGAATTAAGTTTCGGATTATGCCATTTTGCCAGAAGGATTTTGATAGATACAGCGACAGAAGTGTAGGTTGCAGTAAATGATTGAATGAAAAAAGCTGACTTTGCTACTAAAAATAAAATGATAGAATATTATGTAACATTATATCAACATTTATGTGAACCTATCTGACACACTGTAGCATAACTCAAAAGTTTTACCTTGGATAAGGGGAGCCTTTAATGGGTTTCTGGCCATACTTTCTCCAGGCCCAAAGATCAGAAGGAACAATTTCTCCACTGGGTCTGCTATTTGCAGGCGCAGGAGCCGGAATACAAACTACATTCTTGGCTTGACTCTTCCTGGTAGCATCAAAATCAGAACCGAGAAATGAATTTAAACACCGTGTTTTCTGGCTTTCTCAGTATTTAGAAAGCAAAAACTGATTCATCACTGTCCTTCTTGGCATTTACTTTCACTTTTTTTCTTTAAAAAGCTGAGATGATGTAGAATTTGAAAGACTACACAACGGAAATCCTGTAAGTGGGGTTTCCACCAACAGTATATGCAATAAATTTCATTAAAAACATATACAAAAAATCAATCTTACTGGGAAGGAAGCATATAAACTCAAGAAACTGTTTAATGATTTTATAACAAACCCTACTTTGAGATTCTAAACTCTCTGAAACTCGCTTTAATTATTAGTTAGTTTATGAAAGCCTGGTGTTGGTGTTATAGAATTTAAATATAAGATTATGATTTAAACAATCAAGAAGATTAAATTTTGAGTCAAGATATTAATTATATCATCACCTTCGTTTGATGCCCGTATTTCGCGGAGACGAGATCTGCACACCCACATCAGGATTTTCCACCAAACAACCTTCAAAACTTTTTTGAGAAATCCTATGATCATTAGAAACTAACAAAGGAGCTGCACCCATCGGAGAATCGCACGGCGGCAATAAGGGAAATTTTGTATTAGGAGAGATCTGCATCCTTGAAAAGATGCTAGGAGGCTTTTTTCTACTATCGTCAAGAATACTGTTATTTCCACTACCATCACCACCACCACTACTACCACGGAACCCTCCGGCACTTCCGGTATTTAAGAAACTTGACACGGGCACGAGCGAATTATCAATATCGTGGAGTAGTGGATCTCCCATTATGGAAAATGGATCCCCAAAATCATCGATTGGTTCTTCGATCTCGATGCTTGGGAACTGCCAGTCGGATTTCAAGATTGGTGCCTCGGGAGAATCGTTGCTGCTGCCTATTGTACCGCCACTGGCTCGAACTATATCAGCTAAATCACCTTGATAAGTAGTCTCCATTAATTCCCTGCAATAACTGACTTCACATACTTCAACTCAACATAAGCAATCTAATCATTTGACTTGCTTAGTTTGGCAAGTTTTTGCACCAAACATACGTATACAACATGCAATTTCAGGTTCTTGACATAAATTAGGTTTTCAAAGACTTATGTTTGAAGATCAGAACTTTTTTTCACGGAGAGTGATTTTTTAGTGAGAGAAAAAGTTGGAGAAGAGAGATAAGTCGCTGACTTTTCATTTAAAATCATACGCAACAAGAAGAAATGAGTTGTAAACTGGCTTAGAATAATAAAATTAATAAGGGTTTATGATATGAGATGATTGATATTTACATACACATGAAAAGGGTCAAATCTGTTCAATTGTTTCTGTTTATCATAATAATATATTTAGCATACTTTTGTTCTCCATCTCCATTTTTGTCTTCTTATCTCTCTCCCGTGATTTGTGTTACACGTAAAGAGTTAGCAATAAAATATAGTACCTATTTTGGCGGAAATTAAAATTGTGATGTAGTAGAATTTGGTAAAAATTGATTAATTACTTGTTTGGTACAGATTTTAAGCCAATTAAAATCAATTTTTTAACTGTTATTTCACTATTTCAGTCGTCATTTTTTAATTATTCTCTCACAAGTAGGACCCATTTTGATCTCTAACGGTCAAAAAATCAATTAATCAAATCCTTACCAAATAAGCACTAAATATATAGTTGAAAAGTTGTGAGTCCCATGAAATATGTGATTAAAATCAATTATTGATTTTGATTTAAATTAAAATCTAGATTTTTGATACCAATTAGGAACATAATATTACATAAAATTAAATAGTAAATGTACAAAGTTTTAACCGTAATTGTAATATCGTCGCTAGTATCAATATTGTCACTATAATCAATAAGAACTCGACTAGAACGAACGTCTATTTAGCTAATCACTGGTTAAATTGAGTTGAACTAAATATGATTAGAGCTTAATCAGATTATTTACTTTTCCTCGACACGGAATGGCCATAATAGTTCCTCATTGTATATAATGGATACTAGGTCGAATTGTTTTCAATTGTGG